TATTAAATATATCATTTATATTTGAAATTAACATAATATATACTTTTAGAAATATACTAAAATATAAATAATTTAATTATTATAGTCATTATTGTTTAATTTTAAAATTGATATACATATTTAAAGTAATATAAAATTATAATTTAATGACTAAATAGAGAAGTGGTTTATTTTATAAAATTTAAAAATAAAAACAATAATATTATATTGATGTTTGAATATATTGAATAAAACTAATATTTTAAAGAGTGAAATCATTGAAAGAAGAATACATGTTTCTATATTATATAATTGAATACTAACATATTGTTGTGGATATATGATCTAAAATTTAAGCTTTATGAGGTGGAAATATTTAATGTGAGAGAAAGGTTAAGTGAGATAGTGAGTTTTATATATATATAATTTTATTTTAATATTTTATTTGAGAAGATTAGTTGTCAAATATTTTGTATCAAAATCTTGAGGGCTAGCTATCTCACCCTTTGAGGTGTCTCCAACGTAGTGAGGAGATTAATCACTGCTATCGGTGATGGATATTTCAGGAATGAACCAATATATATATATATATATATATATATAACAATCATATTTACAAAATTTGAATTTTAGTCTTGAAAGAAATTAATTATTTTAAGGAGACATTCTTATATGAGTGTTTTTATATATTATTTTGACTCTCATTAAGTTACATGTTTTAATTATTTAATGAATTCAACATTTATTCTTAAATTGTTTTATTTTTTATAAATACATTTTTTAATTTTTAATTTTAAATTTTATTTTATTTAAATTAAATCTTAATACATTATGTAATTACTTAACAAGTCACTACACTTTACAATTCAACATCTAAGTAACAAAATATATAAATCTAAATATTTAAGTTTAATGAGAAATAATTCCTTAATATACATGTAACGATATATATATAAAGGAAAAAATCAACTAAAAGTATAAATATAAATTTTCAATGAGATTATATCATGATTTTATACATACATATACAACCATCAAGATAGTAAATACAAAATTTTAAATTGTCGGTCAAACAACTACTGACCACAAACTGCATAAAAACAATAGAACTAAACACTGTCATCTTTAGCATTATTCTCAAAATCATGCTTGTTGTCCAACCTAATTTTATCATACTCCTATAATAATATGATTATTACAATTTAACAAGAAAAGTGTAGGGGTAAATTAACTTGTAAAAAAAATAACATACATAATATAGAAACAAATAAACTAGCTATAAGACAATTTCATCATTTCAACACAACTATGACCCAATACCCAATTTAACAACATACAACATAGATTAAGAACTTAACACTATTTCCAACTTAGTATATAGACAACATGTACATTGTTTATCAACAGTTTAGTTACACAACAATTAATCACATATCAACTTACAACACAATACAATTTGATAACATTTTAACTTATCAACGCAACTATACAACTTTATCATCACTATGCAACATATTATCACCTCAACTTTTCAACACAACATATAAATAAACACATCAACTCACAACTTAACAACATAATAATTTAAACAACATTGACAACACAATAACACAATTCATCGTCACACATTTCACTTTATTTTTTCAACTATTTTCGTTCTTTTATTTCTCTTTTCTCTGCTATCATTTACTATATTTCTCGTATATTTCTTTTTATCTTACCGAATTATGCATTAAAGTACTAATACGAAATTCTTCTCAACTTTCTCAAACTTGATTAGTTTTGAATTATAGATCTCTCTTCCCTGTAATCAAATACCCCCACTTGATTAGTTATTTTCCGCTTTCACTACAATATTCACACTCACCCATACCCATTTCATAGGTAACAGTTTTAAAATTATTGTATATTTTTATTTTCTAAAAATTGATCATATTCAATCATAATGCTCACGTAGTTTTCTTACTTTTTTTGGTGGGAACATATTTTCAATTATTAAGTTGGGCTGATATTGTTTGGTTTGATATCATGCAAGATAAAGCAATAAGTACACTAGCTAATCACATCAAGCAAAAGTTTTGGAGTCTTGCGCGCATGATATAATCTTCTTCTCTGATTATGAATAATTGATTTCTTCTTTTTATATTTTATATATCAATACCTTCTTTTTTTTTTTTTTAAATAATCACTACTAGAATTTCTCTTATTATATGCGATTTTTTCGGTGAATTTTTCATAAAAATTCGCAAGAAACGTTGTTTTTACAAATTTTTCTGCAAAATTTTATCTGCAAGTAATACCTTCGTGAATAATATTTTTTTGCGAATTTTAAAATTCGCAGGAAATTTTCCTGCGAAATTTCTTGCGAAAAAAATTCGTAGGAAAATTTCTTGCAAAAAAAATTTCGCAAGAAAGTTTCCTGCGAATTTTTTCGCAAGAAATTTTGCAGGAATATTTTTTACGGAAAAAATAAAGAAATTACTATAAATTCTATCAATAATTTTTCAACTTTTAAATACTCACAATGAATTCATCTGAAGCATTTATTTTCATGCCTCCAACATGTGATACATAATCTTTTAAATTCTAAGATTGTAGATTATAAATCTAACATTCAACTATACAAATCAACTTGTAAGGTAAGTGTTGCCCCAACTTATATACTCTTTAATTGCTTTATTTTCAATCGATGTGAGACTTGAAGTTTTTTTAAAATATTAAACTTATAAATTTAAAAAAAAAATTTTATTTTTCCTACAGATTAAAATTTGCAGGAAATTCGTAGGAAAAGTTACTTGCAAATTTTTTTTACTATTTAGTAAACATTACTTGCGAATTTATTTTTGCAAGAAAATCTGCAAGAAACAAAATAAAATTCTTACAATATTTTCTGCAAATTTTTACCATAGAAAAAATTTCCTATGATTATTAAAATTGTAGCAAAAATTTGCAAAAAAATTGTACGAATATTTTTTTGCAGGAAAATTCGCAAAAAAAATTCTGCGAATATATTTTTGCAGGAAAATTTGCAAGAAAATGACACTTTTCTAGTGGTGTGAGTTCATGTGTTGTTTTGGGTGATTTATGTTGTCTTAAGTATGGCGAATGTAGCAATGAGTAACCTGAAATACCGAACAAATACGTTAGTAAAATCTTCCTGAGACGTGATGACACTGATCGAGGCGTGTGATGAAACTGACCTTAAGGATTTATCCTTTGAAACTAAAATAATTTAATGTGATCAAAATAAAAATATTTTTGGATCCCATTTTTGCATGCGCAAAATGAGCAAATCAACAAATTTGAACTACAACGAGCTCACAAGACTCATTCTTACGTGCACGAGCTCACCACCATTTACTTGCCTCTTTGAATGTGTTAGGAGTTAATATATAAAGGCTCTACACTTGAGTATGTAGTTAAAGCAATGTGACTTTTTTCTTTTGAAATATATATATATATATATATATATATATATATAACAGGTGCCTGTTTAAGTTTATTTTTCCATTTTAAAAAATAATTATAATCTTATAAAATTGTCCTTTAAAAAGTTGGTGACAATAATAGCGGCGAGTCTTCTATAAATTGTTTATTTTTTAAGTTCCTATTAACCAAATATTAATTACACGATTAATAGTGATAAAGATTAAAATTAAAATAAATAATATATTAGATTATACTTTTATTCCTTTGTTAATTAAACCGTGACATTAATGGTGACACAATTAGTAATAGATTATTTACATAAATTATTAATAGATTATTTTGCAGTTTTCTAATTTTTCAGTAATTATTACTAATTATTTATATAATTAGTAAACAATTAATATGTCAATAATTTGTGTAAAAAATTGTTGCAAAACAAATATTAACGGAATTTTTTTTCATAAATTTATAATTTATCAACAATTTATTTATTTTGACATAATTTATAACTGAAATTAATTAATTAAATTATTAAATTTGACTGATAATTTTATTTGATTGAATGTTTTGCAACATGTATAATTTATATAAGTCATTGACATATTAATTTGTAATAATCAATTACTTTATATAAAAATTAGTAATAATTATTGGCTATTTATTATGATATTTAAAAAAAACAATTTGATTAATCTGATAATATTTTTTTGTAGATAATTGATTCAAAAATCCTAACCAATAACAATCGATTAATTCAAATAAAAAATAATAACAGTGTAATATGTTACATTTTCATCATCTAATTACAAATAATTATATTTGATAAGTTTGTTAATTTTTATAATAAATACAAATTTACCGCCACTGCTAAAGTACTCTGTTTCTTTGGTAAAAAAAGTAAAAAACCTGGTATGACATATAGATTTACCACCACTGCTATCGTACTTTGTTTCTGTGCACGCACACGTTTTATTGTTCTCAGGGTTTTGTTTTCGTGTATTATGAGGCGACCACGTTAATCAATTCGTAACAAGAGAATTCAGAAATGTCTTTCCTGGACCATATTATACATTTATACGGTTCTATAGTTGGTGTCGGTTCTTTATTTTTTTGTTGGCTACTTTATATCTGTTGCAGGATTCTTCAGATGTGGTCCCTACTCCCTAAAATGCACAATTGAAATCATATATACAACACGAATAGGTATGTAAACTGCCTTCTCCCTCTCAGTAACAAAGTACATCACCTCTTCCATCTACATATACCTTTTTCTTGTTTTTCTAGACATCATTATATTGTTTTCTTCTTCTTCTATGTGTGGGTGCTTACCCTATATTGAGCTACTATTCAATGCCCTTTGTCCAATTTGGTTCTTGTTTTACTTTCCTTCTCTTTATCTTTTGATCACCTATTAGTTTTAAGCTTTTGTCAGTCAATACTCAATATTAATTAATTAGAAAACAATAGTGAAGAGTTCAATTAATTTCTCTCAAAATCAAAATCAAACTTTGATTTCTAGCTAGACGTAAATCGAGTCTCACTAGCTAATATTTTTTTAAATATCAACAAAATCTAGCATGTCTTAGATACCTAATACATCAAGAATTCTGATCATATATATGGAAAAAAAAAAAACTTCTGTAAAAGAAACAAAACTCACTTTAACACACACATACATAATCATATGTATAGAGAAAATTTTATTAATTGAAGGGTCAGCACAGACCTAGTCGGTCATAACCCGATTAGACTAGCTAATTCGATTCCCCTCACTTATAAGGGGATTACTCGGCATTTACTCGACTGGACCCTCGGTATAGACCCAGTCGGTTGGAATCCGACTAAACTCGCCCCCACTTATCTCGCACCCTCCTGATAAGAACGGTTAGGAAAGTCCCTTCATTCTCGGGGCCCAAGAGGCCCATCGACGACACACCATAAAACCTAAAACCCTAAGGCTAAGAAGGCAGATTACACTCTTGAATGCTCTGCTCTAAGGCTTGACCTAGAAAAAAAACCCTAGTGCATCCTTTAGCCGGAACATTTTGGCGCCCACCGTGGGGCTACGGTGAAACTTTTCCTACGCCCCAAGTAATACAGAAGACCCACACTTTACCATGGCGAGAGGCGGCAATAACAACAACAACCCACAACCCCCTACCATGGAGGAGATGATGGCCATGATCAATGGCTTAAGGGAGGAGAACGCGCGATCCAGGGAGAGAGAGGATGCATTTCAGCGCGAGAATGAAGAGATCAGAAGGCGAGCGGACGAGATGCAGGCCAGGTTAGAGGCCAGTACCAGGACGGTGGAGGAAGACGTCATAATGGAAGTCCCTAGGGAATTCCGACCTTTCTCCGAAGCTATAGAGCCGAGATCATCCCTAGGGATCATCGGATACCCCAGGTTGAACCTTTTGATGGAACGCAGGACCCCAGACAGCATTTGACGGACTTCCGAGCTCAAATGTTGATCTGCGGAGGGAGCATGGAAGTCCGCTGCAAACTGTTCATGGGAACACTCAAGAAGGCGGCGCTTGATTGGTTTAGTGGCCTCCCTGACCGATCGATCACCGACTTCGATGTCTTCAGTCGGCTCTTTATGGCACAGTTCACCGCTAACAAGAAGAAGCCTCCGATCACGTCAGATTTGTTCGATCTCAAGCAGCAGCGGGAAGAATCACTGAAGGACTTTTTGCAAAGGTTCAATGAGATCGCCTTGAGGATAGCATCCCTGGATGAAAGGATGGCTGTCATCGCATTCCAGAAGGGCCTGAGGTCTGGAGCTTTCGACATTGCGCTGGAAAGAGCAAATTTCCAGACGATGTCGGAGGTAAGAGCCTTTGCGCTGAGTCACATTAAAACAGAGGAAGGGCAGATCAGCAAGAGGGCAACGGAGAGCAGAGAAGCAGGGGGAAGCGGTAAGGATGGCAACAAACATCTCCGACCACGGTCGGATTGGAATAAGCGACACGATCGTTACAACACGAAGGAGGTCAATTACCGACTGGCCGATAGGGGAGGTCGGCCTACGGGTGAGTGGACACGTACTAACGACGAAGAGAAGTTTACCCCGCTCAACGTCCCTAGGAGGCAGATACTCCATGATGTCAACAGCGCAGCGTTGTTCGAATTCCCAGTAACAACGGAGCGCCAATTGGGTCCCTTCAAGACCGACTGGTGCGAGTTTCACACGACTCACGGGCATTCTACCAAAAATTGCTTCGTCCTTGGAAGACAGATTGAACGCTTGATCAAGGAGGGACGCTTGAAAAAATTTGTAGCGAAAAAACTGGAAGTGGGCTCGTCAGATAGGCGACACAGGCGTGCGCAGGACGATACAAAGAGGGACAGGCATAGAGAGAGAACTCCCCCAAGGACATTCCAGCAAGTTCGTCGGAGACCCATCAGCAGGTAGTCCATGGGGATTTCAACACGGTGGCAGGAGGATTCGCAGGAGGAGGAGTCACCTCGGCTACTCGGAAAAGATACACGCGTTCTGTCTTATCTGTGTCGGAAATTCGCCGACCACTGCGTCCCACAATATCTTTCTCGGATGCCGATTATGAAGGGGTGGCTCCTCACGAAGATGATCCCATCGTCATTTCGACGATAGTAATGGGTTATAATGTGAAGCGCGTTCTGGTTGACCAGGGAAGTTCAACCGATATCCTCTTTTGGGAAGCTTTCGTGGGAATGAAGATCCCCAACGACCGACAGGTGCCTTACGCGGGAACTCTGGTAGGATTTGCAGGAGATCAGGTTATGGCTAGGGGATACACCGATCTAGAAACGACCTTCGGTCAGGGCTCGCAGATGAAGACGGTGACCATTCGATACTTAGTGGTGGATGCCCAGTCGTCGTACAATATACTCATCGGCAGGCCTACGTTGAACAAACTGGAGGCCGTTGTATCAACCGCGCACCTAAAAGTGAAGTATCTGTTGCCTAATGGAGTGGTCGGAGTCCTCAAGGTGGACCAGGAGGTTGCTCGGAAGTGTTATGCGGATAGTTTGAAGGCGAGAAGATGCTTATACACCACACCTGTTGAAAGACACATTCATTCCATCGAGCTGGACCCTAGAATGGGTCAGTTTGATCATCGACCTGCCCCTGCGGAAGACGTCAAGGAAGTGAAGATAATGGAAGGGAGAAATGTAAAGATAGGGACCTCTTTAACTCCTGAGGACGAAGAGAAATTGGTGAGGGTTCTAAAAGACAATGTGTCGGCATTTGCGTGGAATTCTAGCGACATGCCTGGAATTGTTCCAAATTTCTTGTGCCACAAGTTGGCTATAGACCCTAGCGCGAAGGCAGTAATCCAGAAGAGGAGGAAGTTTGGAGAGGAGAAACGAAGGGCCATTGCGGAAGAAACAAAGAAATTGGTACTGGCGGGACATGTCCGAGAAATTCAGTATCCGACATGGTTGGCGAATGTGGTGATGGTTCGCAAGAGTAATGGGAAGTGGAGGATGTGCACGGATTTCACCGATCTTAATAAGGCTTGCCCGAAGGATTCGTATCCGCTGCCTAACATAGACTATTTGGTCGATGGAGCGTCAGGATACGAGTTGTTGAGTTTCATGGATGCCTACTCGGGCTACAACCAGATACGTATGCATCCGACAGACGAAGATAAGACGGCCTTCATAGCAGATCAGGCTAATTTTTGTTACAGGGTTATGCCGTTTGGCTCAAAGAACGCGGGGGCAACCTATCAACGATTAATGGACAAGGTATTAGTAAATCAACTGGGTCGGAATGTGGAAGCTTACGTAGACGACATGGTGGTGAAGTCGGTGAGCACTGGTCGGCATTTTGACGGTTTGCAGGATCTATTTGACACTATCAGTGTGTACCAACTCAAGTTGAATCCAAAAAAGTGCTCATTTGGGGTCCAAGCAGGAAAATTCCTTGGTTTCCTGTTAACTCATTGCGGCATCGAAGCAAACCCTGACAAGTGCTCGGCCATCATCAACATGAGGAGCCCATCTATGGTGAAACAGGTACAGCAACTGACGGGAAGGATGGCTTCTCTTTCCCGTTTTTTATCAAGAGCAGCGGATAAGGCACTGCCCCTTTTTCAATGTCTGAAGAAGAATGAATAGTTCGCTTGGACGACCGAGTGTGAAGAAGTCTTATCGGAACTCAAGAAGTCATTGGCATCTCTGCCCATCCTGACAAAACCACGACCGAACTTGCCCTTGTTGGTTTACATTTCGGCATCCGAGCGAGCCGTCAGTTCAGTTCTGGTACAAGAGCAAGAAGCTTCTCAAGTTCCTATTTACTTCGTGAGTAGGGTCTTACAGGGAGCAGAGGTGAGGTATCAGAGAATCGAAAAGCTGGCCCTTGCGATACTGGTCACCGCGAGGAAATTGAGGCACTACTTCTAGAGTTACGAAGTGGTAATCCACACTGATCATCCGATTCCACAAGTCTTGCAGAAACCCGACCTGGCAGGCCGAATGATGAAGTGGTCAGTTGAGTTATCTAAATTCTCAATAAAGTATGAACCAAGGGGAGCAATCAAGGCCCAAGCATTAGCTGACTTCCAGATGGAACTGACCCCTCTTGTTGAGGAGGGGGGAGTCGGAGAAACACAATGGATTCTATCGGTGGATGGCGCTTCGAACCTAGGAGGAAGTGGAGTTGGAATTGTCTTGGAAGGTCCGGGTGGCATACTGTTGGAACAGTCACAACGCTTCGAGTTCCGGGCGAGCAACAATTAAGCAGAGTATGAAGCACTGTTGGCAGGAATGACTTTGGCAAAAGAGATGGGGGCGACGAGCTTGTCAGCTAGAAGCGATTCCCAGCTGATTAGCGGACAAGTGGCCGGAACCTTCCAGGCGAAGGATCCTCAATTGGCCAAGTATTTGGAAAAGGTGAAACTCCTATCGGAAAATTTCTGAGAGTTCACACTCAACCACGTACCACGAGAGCAAAACTTTATCCCAGCCGAGTATCAATTTCCCACAAGAGAGTGTTTTTTTCATCCAGGAAGAGCTCGATTCGTGGATGGGGTCGTACATCGCATACTTGACTCGGGGGGAATTGCTAGAGGACAAAAGAGAGGCTTCATTGATACAAAGAGAGTCAGCCATATTTGTGATCATCAATGAGAGATTGTACCGAAGAGGTTTCAGTAGTCCCCTTTTGAGATGTCTGACCACATCGCAAGCACAAAGGGTGATGGATGAAGTGCATGGTGGCATGTGTGGAAGCCACATCGGAGGACGAGCACTCGTGTATAAAGGTGCGAGGGCAGGCTACTTTTGGCCGACCCTTAGAAATGACTGTGTCAACTGGGTTCAGAAGTGTGACGAGTGTCAAAGGCACGCAACTTTACACCATTCTCCAGCTGAACGACTCCACTCAATCTTATCTCCTTGGCCCTTCAACAAGTGGGGCATTGACATTCTCGGCCCATTCCCGATTGCGGTGAGACAGTTGAAGTTCTTGGTGGTGGCCGTAGATTACTTTAACAAGTGGATTGAGGCGGAGCCAGTAGCCACCATCTCGGCGGAGAAGATAAGGACGTTCTTATGGAAGAACGTAATATGCAGATATGGCGTTCCCCAAGTTCTCGTATCGGATAACGGAACGCAATTCGCAAGTGCTCGAGTTCGTGACTTCTGTAGGGAGATCGGTATCCGAATGACATTCACTTCTGTCGAACACCCTCAGTCTAACGGCCAGGCGGAGTCGGCCAACAAAGTGATACTCTCAGGTCTAAAAAAGCGTGTCCAAGACTCAGGCGCTTCATGGGTGGAGGAGCTTCCCCGAGTGCTATGGTCGTATCACACAACTATTCATTCATCAACCCAAGATACTCCTTTTAATCTAGTGTACGGTACAGATGCCATGATCCCGATCGAAATTGCAGAACCTTCTGTACGTACTACAGCTTTTTCTGAGGAGGAATCCGACCAGGGAAGACGAGTTGATTTGGACTTGATCACTGAAACAAGGGAGAGAGCAAGGATAAACCAAGTAGCAGCCCAAAGAAGAGCAGCGTTCAAGTACAACACAAAAGTCGTCCCAAGAGATTTTGTGGTAGGAGACCTTGTTCTGAAGCGCGCTCAGCTAACTCAAATGAGGAACAAGTTGTCACCCAAGTGGGTCGACCCTTACAAAATTGATGATGTGGTCGGCAAAATGAGCTTACCGACTGAGAACCTTGGATGGAGGGATGATATCGAGAACCTGGAACGCTGCAAATCTACGCTTTTATTATAGCTAAACTCTTCTTTCCATTTGTATTAGGTGCACTCTTTTCCTAACTCAGTATTTTTTCCCCGTAAAAATATGAGGGGTTTTTGCTGAGAAGGTTTTTAACGAGGCACCGCCTTTTCAATTCAAATAAATGTCATCTCATTGTTTTTTTTCATGACTCCTAACATGTGTTATTTTTAAAGGCGATAAAACTCGTGATTGTCGGTAAAAGTCCGATTGGGCGAGTATAAATAACTCGAAGACCGAAACTCGTGATTGTCGGTAAAAGTTCGACTGGACGAGTATAAATAACTCGAAGACCGAAACTCGTGATTGTCGGCAAAAGTCCGACTGGGCGAGTATAAATAACTCGAAGACCGAAACTCGTGATTGTCGGCAAAAGTCCGACTGGGCGAGTATAAATAACTCGAAGACATCGTCGGCTTTCGGGCGACTTCTCCATACGAGGGAGGTTGATTTTAACTAACTAAATGTCCTACAATTGGCAGGACAAGCATATCAATCTAATGGAAGATCTCTCATCCATTTATTCAATCGAAATTTTGATTGTTCTATGCCTCAGAATTCGTCCGAATGGATCCGCGAAAATTCACTTTTAAAACTTCATTTACCTGTCGGAGCAATTTGACCGATTAGTCAGAAAAATCTCATTTCCTACTTAGAAGATCTTCCACTTGGTCAACACGGGTCGGAATTTAACCGACTGGTTAGTAATATTTCATTTCCTACTTTGACGATTATCTACTTGATTACATGAGTCGGAAATTGGCCGACTGGTTAGTAAAATTTCATTTCCAACTTATAAGGTCGTCTACTTAATTATACGGATCAGAATTGGACCGATGGGATCGTGAAGCTTCAGTTTCGACTTGGACGATGTTCCACTTGATTAAAATGGGTCGGATATTGACCGAATAGTTAGAAAAATTTCATGTCCTACTTAGAAGATTTTCCACTTTGTTAACACGGGTCGGAATTTAATCGATTGGTTAACAATATTTCGTTTCCCACTTAAAAGATTGCCTACTTGATTAAACGAGTCGGGATTTGACCGATTGTTTACACAATTTCATTTCCAACATTAAAAGGTTTTTCCTTGTTTTTCAACAAGTCGGAATTTGACCGACTGGATTAGCAACTTAGAAAATTTCCTACTCGATGTTCGAGTAGGAACTTAGGCGATTTGAACGATCAAGGCTTGTGTTTATAACTTAGGAAAATTTACATTCAAATTAGTAGTCGGAATTTTGCCGGCTCTTTCTGGAAGGACTCATTATTTAACTTAGAAAAATTTGTGTCCCAATATTCGATCGGAATTTCCAAATAGAAAAATTCCTCTTTTTTAACTTAGAAATTTTCTCGGCGTTTGGACGATTCAATTCGGATTTTATACGATTGGGTTCACAAAACACCACTTATTACTTAGAAAAACTTTATGTTCACCAAATCGGAATTTGGACGATTGGTTTCACAAAACACCACTTATTACTTAGAAAAACTTTATGTTCTCCAAATCGGAATTTGGACCATTGGTTTCACAAAATATCACTTAGAAAGATTTTATATATTGTTCAAATCGGAATTTGAACGATTGGTTTCACAAAAGGTCCTTTTTTAACTTAGAAAATCTACCACTCTCTTGGAGTCGGAATTTGGGCGAGTTTCTCCTTTTACTTAGAAAAATTCCTCATTTTCGGAATTTGGGCGAGTTGATCCTTTTAACTTAGAAAAATTCCTCATTTAGGTGATTCAGCTTGGCAAATGCTCACTCTAAACTTAGAAAATTTTTGAGTTTTTTCACATAACCTCAATGTTGGAACGACCCATTCTAACTAGGGATTTTAGCCCTTTTTAGTAGTTTGGAACGAGTCGTTCTGCTTTTGGAACGACCCGTTCTGCCTAATTCTATGCACTTTCCTTTTTTTTTTTTTTATGAGAGCCAAAAGTGGCTGAAAAAAGAATACTAGCATTAGTAAGAGAGGTTGACGAACCAGGAGTGGTTAAGAATACTCGGATAACTAGAAGTGATTTAAGAATACTAGCGTTTGTGAGTGAAGCAGACGAGCCAGAAGTTGTTAAGAATACTTGAGACCAGGAGTGGTCGTGAACTGGATGGTCTATAATACTCACTGCGAGCCTGAAGAGGTTGAACAAACAATACTTGTACTTAGTTGTTTATCTAGTGGAACCCTTCAATTGAGGGAGACTGGACGTAGCTCAAGTTGAGTGAACCAGTATAAAAATTTGCTCTACGTTTTTAAAAGCTTTAGACACACTTTATTTTGATTGATCTTAAATATTGAGAACTTCATCCAATGTTTATCGTCGATTAAAACTATATTCAAACGAAAACCACACTTGTTTAATTGATTATTCAAAAGAACGATTTTCGCTGAAAAAGTATTTTCTCTAAGCAGACGATGAAATTCCCAAATGCAAAATGATTTTGTTAAACCATTCCTGGGTAGTTTTTGTTTAAAATTGACCAAAACCATTTTACTAGACGAAAAAGAGCCTTATTGTGAAAAGATTTTAAAATGCCTTTGTTCACACACACACATATTCAACGCCCCTTCTATGTGTTTCTCATCAAACTTTAATTGGTATCAGAGCTTGACCCCTTGGGTTGAGCATTTAACAATGCAGGGGAACACAACGATCTACGGAAGAACAAAGGACAAATGAAAGCTGAAGTGCAAGGAAGTCGAACAATCCGTATAGGAAAACCTGGTATCAAATCATTCACCTCATTAATACATGTTGCTTATGTTATAAGAATAGTTCATATGTCATTGGTTAGGATGTTATATATATATATATGTGTGTGTGTGTGTGTGTGTGTTTGTCATCCAAATTCGTCTGGAACACAATGGGACAACTAACGTGGCAAGTCACTACGTTTGAACACACCTTAGAGTGCAGTAAGAAAATTACTACATCTGGAAAGCTTCGTATAATGAAGTGTCTAGGGAATCTCCCTTGCGTTCGAAAATATTTGTTTGTATATCCCTATTTAATGACCTGCATTATTAAATAAAGACCATGTTGAGAACAAATAGAGACAAACATTCTCCTTTTTTAAAGAATTAAAACTCCTAAGTAAATAAATAACAAACCGTCATTTAGGGTTTCTCTATTGAAAAGACACATCCCTTACCCTAAATTTAATGCACACTGCACATCATTTTGCAGGAGGACGACAAAAGCACACCACGTCACGCAGACAACAAAAATTTAATAGTAAAAACAAAAATATTTCTTTGATTCAAAAACCCTCTTAACTTCCCTCACTCTTTTTATCTTATTCTCTACGTTTGTTCTCAAACCATCAAACTCTCAAGCATTTTCTCTGAGCCCAAAAACCTAAAATCTCTTAGAAAACTCTTCATCCACTTCAATGGCTGTACCAGCTAAGAACGTCGCAAATGTAATCATCCCTGATGTAATGCGTTAGGCAATCGAGAACACTCACATCTTCTCCACGGAGGAGAAGTTG